GTCATAAGTAATATTGGCTAGACTCTCGATTCGGTAGAAAAAGTCACAGTTCCTTTGAAGTCAGCTGAGGATCTGGATTGCATGATTCAGGTGTGACTAAAAGCAACACAGGGATAAGACTGAAAAAATACAGGAAAGAACAGAATAAAATAGAAGTAACTATTTTTCTCCTGTTCATATAAATTGTATTTTTTCATCCCATATCTAGTTAACTACGAGTGTTCCTGGAGTGCAGAAACCTAGAATCCAACCTTACAATTGCATTTTGTGCCAGGTGCCTGCTGCTGTTTCTATTTGAGTTCCTGTTGCTGTGTCTCTGCTCCGAGATATCCCCCGCTCCTGCAGACCACTGCAGGACACCGTCCCGGCAGCAGCGCAGGGATGCAGTTGCTTCTGCGGGGATCGGAGAATCGCCTCGTGGGCACGAGCACCGCAATAGGAGTTGTTACTGGAGCTGCCGTCCTGCTTCGCTATTCCAGCTGCCACAGGGCTTTCAGGAGAGCTGCTGCTTTTACTCTCTGTGCTATTGCAGGCATTACTGGTTGTTACTGGTTAGCCTGGAAGCACTGAGAAACCCCAGGCAGTAAAAGTGAAGATACGATAAAGTTGCAAATGAGAATTTCAGAGTAGCTGTTGCGGGAAAACTGTGTGTAGAGGTAGGGAAGTGGGCATGAATACTAATGTACTTGGGCTGGCTGTGGTTTGTAATCCTCTGTACATGTGTGGTGTTGTTCCTGACACTGAAGAAAACTGTGTGTCTGATGGAATCTGAGGGAATTCACCTCTGTGCACTTAAAAGGGTTTCAAAGTAGTCAGCAATTTTTTCCTTTTTAATTTTCTACCAGAAGGTAGGAGGGAAGAAATGTGTAAGCGATTCCAGTGGCACAGCGTTCTACAAAACACTGCTGGAACCACCGGAGGCTCGGCTTCCCCTGCTCCTGCCCTGTCAGTTGTGCCAGTGACCCGCAGCCCCTTGCCTGCCGCTGCCCCTCCCGCAGCCCCCGACCCTGCGTGAGCCCCTCACTCTCTCCCCTTTAACAAACACCTTGTCGGCGGGCAGCTGCTGGTTGAGGGGTCTTACCCAAGTCTGAGCAGTGGCTCTAGCAACTTTAACTCCTGCAGTAGTTAATGCAGGAGTTAATGACTTTGGGTTTATGTTTCAGCGCTTTCCAAAGGTCCTTCTGACCTCCAGCCATAAGCCCCAGAGGTTTGAGGGTGCAATGGCAGCATGCACAGACCCCGGTTCTGCTCCAGCTCTATCATACCCTGACACTTCAGTCCTCCCTGTCCCTCATGGGTTTTGGCAAGGGCGCTTGCTCATAATGTCATTCAGAAGTATTCCAGAGAAACAGTGGGAAACTCTGTACCAAATACCAACATGCTTGTGTTGGTTGTAATTTGTAATTGTTCGTATGTGTTCCTCCCTGCTAATCCCCTTGCTGAAATTCATTATGGAGAGACAGTAACATACACTCAGAGAGCTGTGCTGAAGGCAGAATGACTTGGCCAAGGAAAGTAGCTATTGTTTTATGATTAAAGGAAGGGATTATATTGGGATTTCCTTGAACAAGGAAAGCTGCTGCGCCACTTTTATTGCTTGTAACAAGGGGATAATAATTGCTCTCCATTATAAAACACCTCCAGATCTTGCGATGAAAGATTTGTGGTAGAGCTGTGTGGCATTCAGGGCTGGTTATCTTACATGGCCTGGAGTTGTGCAAACCACGATTTCTCTGCCTTATCTTTCTCCTACCGGGGCTGAATCCCTGCTAAAACTATGGAGAAAATTCCCCTTCTCCGAGCTGGGCATCTGACATGAGATGTTCCTCTGGAGGAGCTGGCACCAGTCACCCATCCTATGATGCTTGTCCTCTCTGGGAGCGATGTCTGACCACCTGGGGATTTTGTATGGGCTTGGGAGGATGAGCAGATACGACGGTAAGGACAGAGGCCAGCCTGTGCCCGAGTGGCCGAGGGGAGTGGAGCTCGGCACGGGGGGCGAGCCGCCAGCTGGCTGCCACCCCCTGCTCCAGCACGTCGCTTCTTCCCGTGCTGCTGCCATCCCCTTGCAAGGAGAGGTATGAGAGAACAACTGAGCATTGTAACAGAGGTCGCTGGGGACTCGCTGTTTGTTTGGTTTTGACACTCGCTGTTGAGTCGCATGGGCCGAGATGACTGTGAAGGAGAGAAGCACTGGTATGTGGTCTCTGATTAAAAAAAGAAAAACTATGAGGCATTTCCTCAAGTGTCCCAAATGGCATCTCCTGGCTCAGCTGGTTTTTCAAGCATCCAACTACCACCAGCTCCAGGATGGCGATTTCAATGTAATCAGAGTTGAATCTGTTTCCACTCAAAGTGGAAAAATAAATAAGGCTGCGTTTAGAAACAAAATAGTCCATGTAAAATTTGATTTTTGATACCATATCTCCCTGAGCATGTTTGCTTTTCAACATATCTAATTTGAGACAGGTCTGCATTTCACAATGTTACCCCTTTGGAGTTAACCTCTCCCCTAAATTGTAATTTGTTGCCACTGTTGTTCATTAAGATTTGGTAGAAATGTAGCCTTATTTCTTCATACCTTCTTATTTTTACATAGTTGGATTTTTTTCCCCATGCTACTGTGATCTGCTTTGCTAAAACAATACTCCCAGCAAAGGGAAATCGCGGGTTGAATTGGAATTGCAAGAGGCGGTCGCTTAATCCACAGATTATTGACATGGTGGACCCTAAATGCTTCAAAGGCACCATTATAGTCCATCGTGTCCGTGCGTATTTAGAGAGCCTTAATCCACGGATTACAGGTCTGGAAATGCTCCTGCCCCCCCAGTTACAGCTGGTCCTGCCAACAGGAGCTGCCACGTCAAACTGGCTGTGATGCTACACAGAAATATATCTCTTTAAAATCCACGGAGATGGAGATGCACCCCTGCATCCCTGTCAGGGCTGCATTCCTCTTCCCTCCCTCCTCCCCCCCGCCATTCCGTAGGGAAGGGCTTTGGGCTGGTGCACATCCCTGGCAGAGGGGCTGGCTGGGGCTGCGCTGGCCCAGCTCCTCGCGAGGCTCCTGCAGCCCTGCCTGGCCCAGGCTTTTCCCCAGGCACAAGGTAGGACCAGACAACAAATTTTCAAGAACACTGCTTTTTTAAAAAGAACCCAGCAAAACCCAAATGGAAAGCATACCAAACGTTTTCCAGATCCTTTAGGGAATAGTAAGTAAGTATTAAATGGCAGGCCTTCACTTTTACCCTCCAGTCCCCCCTTAAACAAACAAACCAAACAGCTCTCAGTAAATACTTAAAATTTCAAAGGCATTGTTTTTCCTTGTTTGCACCTTAAAAATAACTAATTGTATTACAATTGAAATGGGTGGGCACTTTTAAACTCCTCTTTTGCTGAGGTGATAACTCTGTATGCTGAGGTGCCTATATTTGTGTTATATATCTCTGGAAATGAAGTGTATAATGGAAAAAGCTCACAGCCTCTTTATTTGCAGTGTTCCTATAATAAGTCAAAGAATTCACACAGTGCCCTTTTATTTCCGAAGCTGGACTTAAATCACTTCAATAAATCCACAGACTTATTATGAGATGCAGCATGGGTAATGTAAACAACCAAAAAACCCTCCAACACACCAGAGTTTAAAAATAGGATGTAAGGAGGAAAAAAAGTTAACCATCCATACAATAAAAAGAGAAGAAATGCAACACAAAAGCACTGTGGAAGGCAGTGCCTTGAAATTATCCTCACTAAATTACAGTCATGCACTTTCCACTCTCTGTAATTAAACATTAGGGTTTATTTATTCCAGATGCATTTGCTTCAAGTAAACCCAGATCTTTTGTTTTGTTTTGTTATTGTAAATCCTTTACAGGTCTCTGTGACCTGCAGACAGTTGAGAAGCAAAGCAAATGATTTCCATAGATCAAGACACTTGAAGATGACTTGTGAGTAGTACTGGCATTGCATGTGGTGAATCTAATAGTCTTGCTCCCTTTTTACAGAGTGTAGGTATATTCAGTGACGTTGAGCCTTCTGCGAGTGCCTGTGTCTGTGCGTGAAATAAACGCACAGTGAAACCTGAACATGATTACCAACTGCTTTGATCCCAAACAGCCAAACAAAATGGATTCTTGGCTTGCTGGGTGGGATTTCTGTGATGGGATGTAAGCAGGGAGCCTCTGATACCTCGTGGGGTACAACCTGTGCAATTGCTGTATTTTGCTAGAAAAATAACACCTTGCTTTGGGCAGACACAGAATACTGTAGGCTTGATCAGTGAAATAAAAAATTAGGTGATTTTATGTGCCCTTGTGGCTGCCCATTCCTGGCTTGGTTGAAGATGTACCCACCCTGCTGATCCCACAGCCTGCAGGGAAGAGTCCATGAGGTGCTGCTGCAGTTCTGGCTGATTTGTCTCAGAACCTAAGTTCTGCAACCAGTTGCAAATCCCATTATCCTCACCATTTCTGCTTATAATTGCAGTTTACACAGATAGTTGCAGACCTTTTGTATAGATTAAGTTTGTTACGCAGAGGTCTTAAAGGCTGAACAGAGGACTTCTGTACGTGGGATTTTGGAAGGGTTGTGTAAGGCTCACGGCCTGAGTGGAAATTATTAAACAGATAGGAATGAATTGTAATCATCATAAAATCTATGATCCAATTTAATGATAATTTTCATGTATATGCTTATAGTTAAAATTTATCGAATGGCCAGACTGCTGCTTTTATTTATTTATACTTTCTGAAGGAAAAAAAAAAAAACCCAACCAACCAACCAACCTCTGGAAAGATGGTAAATTTAGAGGTGTTTAAAATAATCTATATCCCACTCGAAATGTACAGCATTCATTTTTAATCTGTTGATCTATCTAGATAAATACATATAGCTTCATTAAGCTTCTTTCCAGGTGTTGCTGTTGCTACCGGAATGTTAGTGGAGCTTCTCACCTGGGGAAAGGACTGCTGCCTTCCAGGTTAAAATAAAAGGAAACCCCGGCCACCTGCCATGACCACCGCTGTCCTGGCAGCACCCTGCCTGCCCAGGCTTAGCGGCCCTGCGGCCAGTGGGCAAAACTGGGTGGCCCTGTCCAGCTGGAAGGTGGGCTGGGATCAACCCTGCCTGGGGGGAGATGGGGACCCCCTGGATGCTCCCTGCTCGGAGTCTGCCTCCCCAAAGTGGGTCAGTGTGCAGGGGGGATGGAAAAAGAGAAAAGAAAGAAAAAAGAAAACTTTTTTTTCCCCCCTTTCTTTTGGAAATGAAAGAATGTACAAGCAAGTCATATTTTCGGAAGGATGTTTTTAGGCTCTGGTTGCTGGCCTAGAGCTGCTGGTGTCTGCGTGTGCCATCCTGGTCCTTCAAGCTTCGGCAGGTTTTTACCTTTCATGTTGTGCTGTGCTCATGGTTGCTGCGTGGGATCTCCCTCGTTGCTGTCCTGGCACGGCCGGGCTGACGAACGATCCCTCTGCCCTGTGCCTGGGTGTTACCTCCTGGGGTACCAGGTTTCTCCTGAATCCCCTGCTCTGCCCCTGCTCCTCATCCCGCAGCCAGCGTCAGCCTCGCCCAGGGGACGGGGCTGCAGGTTTACCTTCGTGCTTGGTTCAGAGAGTTTGGGGAAAAGTGAGAGGTAGAGATGGGCCATTAGAGGGCACTTTTGCAATCCTGGAGAAGGAAAACGGTGCTTATTATTTCACTTAGGACTGTTTATTTTGGCGCTCTCTTAAATTCAGTGATAAACAGCAGGCAAATCCCTCCAGTCAGCAGGAATATATCAATAAAATATTGACTCAGAGTTTAAAAGAAAAGAAAACAAGACGAACTTGTAGAAAAGGGAATAAAAGGCATTTAGGAGGTGGCACAGTCTGGAGAATAAAAAAACCACACAACACATTTAATGTAATTTGTATGGCTTTACAGTACAGCTCTTAGGCCTCAGCTTGTACCTGGCTTCTAAAAACGAAACCGGCTCGGAGCATGGCACACCAAGACAAGAAGATCGTTTGTTGGAGGTGTCTGAGGGCTGGCTGGGAGTGCACGAATTTGCGCGCTCACATCTAGCGAGTGCATTCTCTGAGAGACTCTGTCAAAGTCATCGCCCAGTGGTGAACCTGCCCAGAAAGAAACATGGGGTGAATAAATGATATTTTTGCTTTCCCCTTGATGTTTTGTGTGAGTAAACTACAGAGGATTGAGCTTTAAACTCTGCCAAATTATAACGAGTGCACTGCAAAAAATAAATCGGCTTATTAACTGTTGTGAAAGGGTGGTATAACACTGACAGCATGGTTTCCAAAAACTGTGAGTGAGTTTTGGATGCTTCTTTGCTGTTGAGACGTCCCACTTTTGGAAGTGTTGTGCATGAAAATTGGGCCCATTTTAAGCCTCTGAGGTTGGATATGTCAGAATGAAAGCACTTGATCCTATTCTCTTGTAAAGGAGGAAAGATTATAAAACTTCTATTTTTCAGTAACCTTGAGAGGTTTGCCAAGCTATTTCATGTATGGGATGGGTCAGTGCTGCTGGCCCAGGCTGGGCAGGAATCACAGAACTAACCTTAATGTGTATTTTGTGGTTATTTTTAGGCTGAAATGCTTTTACAATTAGATAAAGAAATTAAAGACAAATCTGTGCCTTGACACTACACCATGGTTGTTAACAGGGACAGGAGTTTTTTAAGTGAATTATCTAGTATTTAAGAAATTAAGCTTAGCTTGGGTAGTCCTACAATCAAAATTTGTTTATTTTAATAGAGGTTACATTGCACTGGAAATGACTATGGGAATATACAAGATTGCAGTTTCAGGGGGTTCATGTGGAGGACGCTGTCTGCACAAAGTGTCAGAGTTTCTTACCTAACCAAATAATCTGCTGTAACTGTTGTGATTAAGTTGGAAAGAATTTCTTCCCTGTTGGCCAACGATAATACTTGAAAAATCAATAAACAGCGTGTTAGAGCACACGAAACGCATCCTGCTTTGTGTCAGAGGAGGTTTCTGCTGACTTTGGTGACTCAAGTCAGCAAGTATTTTGACTTACGATCTTTGCCCCGAAAGGTCAAATGCCATTAACTTTGCTGATAAGTATCAACACTTCAGTCTGAAATCGAGGAAATATGTCTGTTGTCATCAAAAGCTAAGTCAGGACCTGGTTGGGATAAATTTTGACAAACTCTGGGAAAGCTAAATCGGGATTTAACTATAAGTAGCCATTGCACGTCTTAGGTAAAGTCCTTTACTGCTTTCCCTTCTGTAGGGCTACCTTCTGAAACCTGTTATTAAAACACCCCAAACAATAACAAAGTGCACAATTTGAGACCGGTGAGCACTGGAGCTGAAGCATTACAAGCACTGCAAACGGAGAACTGTGGCTGTGCATTGCTCTTGCCAGGTTATATAGCTGAATAAATAAGGGTGCAGCCTTATCCAACTACAAAATACCATTTGGCAGCCTCAGCACAAGGAGGGCTTCCCTGCCAGACAAACAGGGTCATCGACCAGCAAGCTTGCTGCAGGGCCCCCAGCATGCTTGCTGCCCTCTCGCATGGGGCTCTTCCACGGTCTCCGTGCCCACCAGGGACACAACCACGGGGGAAACTCTGCCAGGTGAACCTCAAGCATTCGCTTTCATCTTTCCTGTGGTTTTCTACTCAGGAAGGGGAGGATCTGGTGGCAAATACAGGAATATGTGGCAGGCTGGGGAGGGAGAAAGCTAAGGAAGGCGTAGCAGCCCTTGGTGTGAGGGAAGGCACGAGCGAAAGGAGGAAAAGATAAAATTGCATCCTGGTGAGGGAGTTTTCAGTATGTGTCAGTTGTGGCTCTCGGTTACTTTGGGGTTTGCTACATATTTTCTCTTCCCTCTTGCATCACCAGTTTCAGTGGGAAAATAGAAAGATGAAGGACAGGGACCGCACAAGTTAGAGAAAACAGTAGAAAGTGGGGTGGGAATGAGCTGACGTAATGGGGCCAGGGACAGCAGAGAGGAGGGGAGGGGGTGGGCAGGGGGGACCTGTATTGTGGGTGAAAGGAGCAATTAAATAACGATGTTAGAGGCAGAGGAAGCAATATGAGGGCAAAACCAGCCATCTGCGAGCCTTGCTGGTGTCAGGAGACCTGCTGTCCTGCGCGTGGCTGGCTGTCTTTAGCTGTACTGGGAGCAGGACAGGCAGATGCTGGAGCCTCCTCTCACAGTGGGGCTAGAGGCAGCAGGCAGGGAGGATTTGGGAAGATTTTGTCAGGAGCTCAGGGGTGAAAAAAAGGACGAGACCCCATGCTGCCTGTGGCGAATTCCCACATTTGGGATGCTGGTGCCTGCAGCGAGCTTCAGTGATGAAGAGAGGGGCAGAGGCTAGCAGGCTGCTGGCCACTGGCCTCTGTGAAGAAGAGAGTGGGAAGGGGCACGCAGGGATTTGGGGGCTGCCAGGGAGTGGGTCTTGCTCCTAAAGGGCCAGAGCATGTGGGCTGGGGCGAGGAGGAGGGTCCCGTACCTTGACTACACCTGCCACCGGTGGCTCCTCTGGGCTTTTTGGAAGGTAAAGCCATGGGCGGGGGGAGGAGGCGGCTGCCAGGACTTCCCTCAGGGGTGCTGCTTTATATTTTCATGAAGTGCTTGAAAGGGAAGAGCAATTTTATAATGGCTTAGCCTATGTCACTTCTCAAGGAGCTCTATATTTACTATTTTTACATAAAATATTAGAGAAAAATCAAGTAGAGGAGAAAAAAATGCCCAGTCTCAACAGCAGAGTTGATCTTAAAGGTAAAAAGAGTTTGTTATAAAGCCATAGTCAATTGACAGCACAGTACAAGGAATGGTGCGTGACCACACATTTAGCCAAGTAACAAGATAAAACTGTTCCTGACAGCTCAGCCTTTTATGATGCTTCTTCCTAAAGTGCGTGGCTAACAAAATTTAGGTAATTGCTTAAACCTCTTTTCCCTATTTAAAAAAAAATGTTATCATTTAGTTATTTAAACTTTGATACTTGTTCCAGAAATGGGCTTTTTTTTTGCCCCCTACCACCCCCCCATATCAGAGCTATTACAGATGAGCTCATCTACTGTACTGAAAGGCGATTTCCAGCCTGTCCCACTGTATATGTTAGGGTAGTCATTACTGACCTAGTTGTAGACATAATAATGAAAGGCTGAGATTATGAATTATTATGCCTAATTTGTAAGGGATTCTCTGCTTTTGTGTTTTGCAATTCCCATCAGGCTTGAGGATTAAGCCCTGCTGAATTGCAGGCTAATACCAATGTGCTTTGAGTATGTGTGGGCTTATATCACATGTTTTCCTAATTCACTATTTTTATAAGGAACAATTTCACTGGAAATATTTACTTTTCAAAGGATTGCTGGAAGCCCCACCAAAATCTCTGAAGGAAAGTGAAGTTGATGTACCCTCCATCTGCTCTGTGCTTACTCTAGCTCTTATGTCCAGCGAGCTCTATTTCTCTATGGCAAAACATCAAACTGTAACTCTACCAATGTATGTGGAAGGCTTTTGCTCTTAGTAAGAAGGAGAGATACCAATTTGCCAGCAGTGCACGGGCTTGCTTTGAATTACAGTTCAAGATGGAAAAATCTTATTTACATACCTTATTGAAGTGCTGTGTGATGCGAGCTCATTCCTTACAGTATGTAATGCTAGTGCTTGTACGGCAGTACAGTGAAGGTGCCTGCGAAACATAAGGAGTATGTGACATTGTTATAGGTACGCCCGTGTTTCAGCAGGATAACAGCCCACAGGAGCCACACAAGTTTGCAGCTAGTCGAGTCAGCGACTGTGGGTCGCAAACAAACTGGTGCTTGGCTGCGGTCTCACCCACCAGCGTGGGACAAGCTGGCGGCAGCTCCGGCTGCCCATGGTGCGGCCCTCCTCAGGTGGGACTCCCTGTCGTTGCTGTAGGATGCTCCTGCTGCGCTGCCCGCTGCTGCTGCTGCTGCTGCCGCTCGGCTCCAGGCCCCAGAAATTACCAACCAGAGATGAGGAGCTCTTCCAAATGCAGATCCGGGACAAAGCATTTTTTCATGATTCGTCAGTCATCCCAGATGGAGCTGAAATTAGCAGCTACCTCTTCCGAGACACCCCTAAAAGGTATTTCTGTCCAGCTCAAGTGAGGAAGTTATACTGTGAAGATACTAGCTTTATTTCCTGGGTGTTCTGAAATAAAAACTGTATCTGAACCAGAAAAATACAAATGCCAGTGTTCTGTCTGGTGAAGTAAGTCACTATGCAACTTTTCATCCCAATCTGGCGTCCCAGGCTGAGGGTCTATCCTATTTATTTGATTTTTGGGATAAGTGCAGAGCTCCCGCAGACCACAGAAGTTCCTTGAACTGGGGCCACTAACAGTGTCTGGAGGCAAAGGGAGAGGGAAGGAAATTAGAAACTACAGGCTTACCCCACCACACTTGTCTCTCTTCATTATTTCATATTGTGCTTTAAAGAAACAGCATAAGCCAGTCTGGTCTGAACTCCCCACTTCCCAACCTCAACCCTATGGGTCAGAAAATACTGAGGTTAGACTGGGGAAGAATCTGAGGCTCCAAAGAGCTCAGGGAAGACCAGCATTGCCACCTTCCTCCTCATATCACACACCTTCAGCCTTCATTGATGAGAAACAGTTTACAATAAATGATGTGTAGTGCTTGAGGGGATGTGGAAGGACAGCTGAATGTGTGTGTATCTGTATGTGCTTCTAGGACCCTTGCCTGGACATAGTGTTCCGTTTTGAACGGCATATCCCTAAATTCCAGGAAAGATCCCCTTTCCCTCATTTATACCTTTGTGACCATTTATACTGTATATAGTTAGTGTAGGGCTAAAAAGTGAAGCTGATGGAGGAGATGTCAGGGGGCCAGAAACCCTCTGCCATGTCTTGACAAGCAAAGTGTGAACTCTGCACCGTCTTAGTGGGGAGAGTCCCCTTACCTTCTTAGCTCTTGCCTACCAGCCTTTACACATTCCTTCTGCACATGCTTGCCTATAAGTAATGCTTTTGTCTCTGTTGCTCCACCAAGATCAATCTTGATCGTGTCAAGTCAGTCCCTGATAGTTGGCTGCCATCAGGATTTATTGACATATGGGTCTGTTAACCTTCTCCTAGGTATTTCTTTGTGGTTGAAGAGGACAACACTCCCTTAGCAGTGACAGTGACACCATGCGATGCCCCTCTGGAGTGGAAACTGAGTGTGCAAGAGCTCCCAGAGGAAGCCAGTGGAGAGGGTTCAGGTAACAAACCATCAACGACTTCCCTTGTGCCTCAGAGACCTGCTTTTCTTCTTTAGTTGAAGCCCCTCAAAGCAGTCTTGGCTGACGCTGAGTCTCGCAGCAAGCCCATCTTTATGATCTCCTGCTCTTTGGATCTTCAGCCCCAATCCTGCTGTCATGCAGGAAACTGGCAGCAGGTAGCAACATGACAAGGAAAAGGTCTGTAAAAAAGTAAAAGCCGTGGTTATAGTTACAGAGTGCGCTGGATGCTGCCACAACAAACTGTATTTGCCCAGAGTAACTTGGTTTCACGGGGCTTTGCTGTGAGCTGGGTACACGAGACAAGAACTGGAGAGACAGGGCTTGCATTGCAGCAGGGCTGAGCTCGCCCCTTTGAGGGGAGTCGTCTGTGGACATGGAGCTTATTTGGAAATAGCCATATAATTACTACTCAAGAGAGAAAAGGTCTTAGGCTTCCAGAGCCTTTCACACAAGTGCTAAAATGTCACACACCACACTGTATGGTATACACACCTTTGGCCCCCACTGTATATAGGCACAAAATATTAGTGTGACTCAGAGGGCCAAAGCTAAGGGCCCGAGTCTGGAAACAGGCAGCAGGGTCAGTGGGGAACTGTATGGCATCTCCACATTGGGTGCTTGAAGTACTCTAGTGGGAGGTATTAGCTGCCATTCACGAGACTCCGTTAATAGTGATGAGGTGCAGTTTCTATTGTGTTTAGTTTTAACCCAAGTGCCGAACCAATTTCCCTCTCTGATTTGAGATAAGCATTGATTACATCCTCCTCAGAAGACAAAACCTTCCTTTTTCATCTCACTTTTGTATTTTATGTAGAAGTGTCTGTTGGAATTTTATTTTCTCGTATTTCAGATTGTGTCTGTACAAATGTTTTCCTTTGCTTCTAATCTAGGTGAACCAGAACCTCTTGAGCAACAGAAACAGCAAATTACTAATGAGGAAGGCACAGAGCTGTTCTCTTACAGAGGCAATGATGTTGAGTACTTTGTGTCCTCTAGTTCCCCATCTGGTTTGTACCAACTAGATCTGCTGTCAACAGAGAAAGATACACATTTTAAAGTGTATGCAACCACTACTCCGGAGTCGGACCAACCTTATCCTGAATTACCTTATGATCCCAGAATCGATGTCACTTCTCTGGGACGTACAACAGTGACTCTGGCGTGGAAATCAAGTCCCACTGCCTCCTTACTGAAACAGCCAATTCAGTATTGCATCGTCATCAATAAAGAACACAATTTCAAAAGCCTCTGTGCTGTTGAAGCCAAGCTCAGTTCTGATGATGCCTTCATGATGGCTCCAAAACCAGGTCTGGATTTCAGTCCATTTGACTTTGCCCATTTTGGCTTTCCCTCAGACAACAACTCTGGCAAAGAACGTGGTTTCCTAAAATCATCATCAAAGTTTGGGCGCCAAATATCCTCAAAGCCCAGAGTTGACCTGCATAGAGTTTGTATTGAGAACAAGAACATCTTCACAGTGTCTGACCTGAAGCCTGATACACAGTACTACTTTGACATGTTCGCAGTAAATGCCAACACTAACATGAGCACCGCATACATTGGCACCTTTGCCAGAACGAAGGAGGAGGCTAAACAGAAAACAGTTGAACTGAAGGACGGCAAAGTTACAGATGTATTCATCAAGAGAAAGGGAGCCAAATTTCTACGGTTTGCTCCCGTTTCATCTCACCAAAAAGTCACCTTCTCCATTCATTCATGCCTGGATGCTGTTCAGATCCAAGTTAGAAGAGATGGAAAACTTCTCTTGTCTCAAAACGTGGAGGGGGTGCGGCAGTTCCAGCTTCGAGGAAAAGCAAAAGCTAAATATCTCATTAGGTTGAAAGGCAGCAAAAAAGGTGCTTCTATGCTGAAGATCCTGGCTACAACAAGGCCTAACAAGCAGTCATTTCCTTCTCTTCCTGAAGATACACGAATCAAAGCCTTTGACAAACTCCGCACGTGTTCTTCGGTCACGGTGGCGTGGCTGGGCACGCAGGAGAGAAATAAATTCTGCATCTACAGAAGGGAAGTGGATGACAATTACAATGAAGAGCAGAAGAAAAGAGAGCAGAACCAGTGCTTGGGTCCAGATACAAGGAAGAAATCAGAAAAGGTTCTCTGTAAATACTTCCACAGCCAGAACATCCAGAAAGCAGTGACCACAGAGACAATCAGAGGCCTGCAGCCTGGCAAGTCCTACCTGCTGGATGTTTATGTGATAGGGCACGGTGGGCAGTCCGTGAAATACCAGAGCAAATTGGTGAAAACAAGGAAGTTCTGTTAGTGCCCCTGTACATAGAATTATATGGAACTCCAGTCTGAACATTATCCTACTTCCAAGTATACAGATTGACTACTTGCACAGCTGAGAAGTTGTGACCTGTATTTGTACTGTGTAGAAAAGATATCAACTTGTATATTTATGTTTACATAAGTAATTGTCTGGAGGAACTGAGGCTGGTGCTCTCTGGTAGCATCTGGCAATGGTACTATCATGTGTCTGGTGACCCACATGTGATGCTCAGTAGATGTCCAAGGTAGCAGGAAACCTCGAAGGAACTGGCACTCCTTTGCTTCCATATTGCATGAACTGCTTCTAAATTATTTTATACTTAAGAGGCTGAGATATATCATTTTTCCACCTTGTTATTCACACACAAAACTCACAGACATACACCCTTTCTCTCAGTGTAGATGGTAGGGTTTCTGTAAATTATTTTATAGAGTCTTGTTTGAAATGTTTATGTTTCTATGATTGTAAACTATTAAAATCTCTCCCCAATAAAATACAGATCTAAACTAAGTATTAACTGGGCTGCACATGAAGCAGTTTCATTGCTAATGTAAATTCTTACCTAGCTGATTTTCATGTTTAAATACTGTATGTATTTCATGTACAAAGTTGCCATAACGTTATATTCCTGTACATAAAATTAAAAATATTAGATTATATATTGTTTTCTTTTTTTCTTGAAATTCTAAGGGGGCAAACAGACTCAGAGACAGAAGAGGCATCCTGAAACTTGAGCTGAATTCAGATAGAATGTGCCTCTCTTTTGTTGTTCTATACCTTTTTGGGCAAGGTGACTGAAGTCCAGTAGAATTATTGATGTTACTGAGTCAGTTAAAATCTGCTGGGGAGTGCAGGCCATTGAAGGAGGGGTATTTGTGGCATATTAGGGGGTCTACAGTAATAAAAGCACTAAAGGAGCAGGACAGCACAGAGGAGCTTCACTTGTCCTGGGTGAGAACGGATCCTGTTTCGTTGTGGTTGCCAGTGCTGCCAGCACTTTGCAAGGAGCTCGCAGTCTGACTTAGAGAGACCATACAATTCAAACAAATAACACACCAGAGAACCAGTTGTTATTTTTGTTAGATGATCATTGAAAACATTTGCTTTCTGGATGCTGCTGGTTTTGACCGCAGTAATAATAAGCTGAGAGGATTATTTTTTTTTCCATTGACAGGAATGGTAGTGCTAAGGAAAAATCATGTACTTTCATTTAAATTGCAGTTATTTCCATTGTGTAGATTTCTTTAAAATATTAAATGTCTGGATCTCATATTTTCTAAATTTTCTTATTTGTTTTTCCACATGTCACCTCCATTGACTCAAAAACTTCTATAGAGCTGCTTAATGGAAAACACACTTATGAGAAGCAACTAGACCAGCTCCATTTCAAGTGGCTAAGAGCAGGATACATACTGCCTCAGGCCCAATACTGTAGTATGGGTCAGGGCCTCAGGACAGGTAACTGAGACCCTTTTTTTTTTTGGTTCCATCTTATGTATCAGCCTGCAGCACTTGGGCAGTGGATGTCAGGGCTTGTTCAAAGACAGTCTTGTCTCTTCCTTAGGTGCCTGTTCATAATATGTCTCACTGCTGGGATTTTGGCACTTAGAGCCCCCTTGGGGCCCTGAAGATAAACATGCAGAAACTGGGGCATGAGGGAAAGGGACCAAAGCCTACGTAAAGGCCCAAAGCAGATTCCTCTTAGGCTGCTTGCAGGGGAGTTGGGAACCCTCTGTCCCTGCAGAGGTGAGCTCTGGTTTTCCTTGGCCCCGTAGTGCTGAGCTCCTCAGGTTGTCCTTTCTGCTTCCCCCAGCATGTTTCAGTTGCAGACTGGCAGGTGGCAGCAGGGTTTTGTGGCTGTGCAAGCTCCCATGCCATTCCACATGCTGAGTTTGCTGTGATGATTCTCCAAGAAAGAGGCAGATACTGTATGAACACTGATCAGAAGACACCTGCTGTGGTTAATGTAATTATATAATAAACCTAATAATTGAAATTTAATGTCTCCAGAGATGATCTCCTCATTTGAAAACATCTCTCTGATTTCTTAAAGTGAATGGCTTCAGTAACACAGATGTGCTAGATTACCATGCCAGGGTGTAGGTGAGCAGTAGATGACTACAGCTGGGAATTCCTCAAGAATGGGACCGTGGAACCAGTGTTACATCACGAGTTGCCAGGGAGATACTTTCCCTACATTTCACTGTCCAAAAATTTACTGAATCCTTCAGTTAAAGGCAATGCACTTTAAAAGCATTTCTCTGTTCACTGTTGCCATTTTTATGGGGAATGGTACCCCTTCCATTGGCCTATTACATTGTTTACTTGAAAACATATGTTTCATCACCATTCCAATTCTATTTGTTCCCTTTAGACAGATTTATCTGGATATTCATCCAGTTCACTTGGCTTTTCTGCCTGCTAACCACTTATGTATGCAGTATGTCACAAAATGAAAAAAATCCCCAAGATGCGTGCATCTTCTATTTCTGAACACTACATTTTCAAAGAAAAATGTCACAACATTTGTCTTTATTCCCAGGGGAATTCTTCTTTTCCCAAACAACCAGCTCTGTTTAGTCTTCTGGATGAAGCTGAGACCATACTAATATCACATCTAGCAATCATCTCGTTATTATTCAGGTCTTAAGAAGTCAAGTGGAGCTGAGAGAGGCAGTTATTATTTTGAAGGATGGAGTAAAAATAAGGGCACCGGTCTTTATACAGTGCAAATATAAGTCACCCTAAGTGAGAGGCGACTCAAGTGGGTATTAAAGTAAAGTAGGCATAATTTACTGGGAAAGCTCTAGGTGCCCACGTAAGGAGTCACAGCATGGGTGACCAAAGAGCTTGCTTCATGCCCCATCACTGCCAGTCTGCCTGGCCATGAATGCAGTTCAGACTGTACGTGTCTTCATCCTCTGGCTTACCTCATCACCAGTTTACAGCTTTCTATCTACTGAGAAATAAATCTACAGACTCATTTCACATGGGCCACAGAACAACAGTAACTTTGAAATGCTGCCCTATATTGGGTCTGACTTAGTTACAGATCTGGATCCTGTTATCAATCCACTGTCACATCTGTATTTCTAGTTTCACGTCAAAACATGTATGAAAAATGTCTTAAAGAATATAATAGGTGAATACTTGGCATAAAAGGTCAAAAAAAGCTGGTATATCAAATACACACACAAATATATATAACCTGTAAAGGTTTTTTTAAGCACAAGGCTGGAGAAGTAATTAAAATAGAAACATAAGCTTGGAAATAGAAGTTTAAGTGGAGTTCATCATTTGTATTGATGGTATGTGTCCCCTTGGGGAAAAAATGCCATGCTGGAATATGCAGTTGAGGAACATGCAGGGCTCCAGGGAAGCAGTATACGGTGGCCCACCCTGGTGGCAGAGCCTCATTCAGGCCTATCTGCTGCAGGACTGTGTAACAGAGAAGAAATCCTCTGAAGATGTTTTTTGTTGTTGCTTGTTTTAAAATGAGTAAAGAGTCACTGAGCCATTGCATACCGCAGCAAGATAATCTTCAACACCTTAATCAAAGTGGAGTTTATCTAATTTTACTGATTTACTTAACTGACAAATCTGGCAGCAGCCTTATAATGTAGGCTTCAAAGAGCCCATAGGACAACATAGTCTGTGAGTTACAGAACACAAGTTAAGGTTATGATGGTAGCAAAACTGCAGAATAAATCAGTCAGTTATACACACAGACATACAACTTCATTTCAAGAACTCCACTTGTAAAAACAATGTATGGGTCTCAGAGCCATATTTGTTTGGGTTCTAAGTAGCAATTTTAAGATTGATAACATACCAGGGAGAAAGAAAACCCTTATTTGGAACAGCAGAAATGTTTTTACCTTAGCACTTGGAAAAAAAAAGGTTGCTCAAAGTCTTTTGAATATTTAGCTTTGAAGATACCATGCTTGAATACATTTAGTTCAATGGGATGTGGAAATGTATGTTAGCCAATTCATTACATAAACAATGAGGAGCAACTGTGTCCCAGGAACTTTGAACTCTTCTTTCTCTCTCTCTCTCTGCTTGGAAACCTATTCATAAACCTCTGTGATAGCAGAGATCAACTCTCAAGTTTTGTGGCAATACTCACATCTCTAGTCTGACTGACCACACAGAGATTGTCCCAGATCTGCACAGCACAGCCAGTAATTTGGTTTCTCAGTACTACATCTATTAATTCAAATTATGGTGACTTCAGAATTCTTTAGAAGTAAAGACACATGTCAATAAAGCAGAGCTTTTACACTTGGGTTGTACTGAGTGGAGAATATGAGGCTGAAGACTGGTGAAGAGCTTTTACCATAGGTTAAAGACCAGCAGTCATCAAATGTTACTCATACTAGTAAGCCATAGGTCTTTGACAGAGCCTTAGCAAAAGTCAGTATTCACCCACCCCTGTTTGGCTCAGTTAGAGAAGTCGTTTCTTCCATTTTGTGCAAGTGGTACTCATTTTTATCTCATCTTGCAAAAAATATATTGCTACGAATCAAAACAGCAACAAACCTTGTGCTCATGAGTGCAGTGTTTAGTTCCCAATGCCAACTGTCATGCAGTTCTGCTAATCTGGCCAGCGAGACTTCTGAGGTTTTAAGGCTACTTTCAACAAGCACTTCAGGTCAAAGAGTTACTCCAGGGAGACCTGTTTATGTCTCAGATAAAAGAACTCAGCCCCCACTTTTGGCATGAATGCATATTTTATCTTCTCGCTTGGCCACCACCAGAAATATAATTCATGTTTGAAAAGTGTGGCGCCTCCTCGCAGTGTTTTTATCTGCTTCAGAAGTGCAAGCACATTTAGCAGAGAAGTCAAACACACTCTTGGCACAATGAATGAAATTAGCAAAAGAAGAAACATATATGCTAGAAAGGGTTACTTTGCTGAAAGCACTGCATACTGGCTTTTGGTCCAGGGGACTATTCTCAAAGCAGGCTGTCTGGCGATTTCCCCCAGTTTGCGTATCAACTTAATTGGTAGCTACCTGGTACCATTAATGTCAGTTGGGTCCCTGTCTTGTAACGTGATGCTCTGTGTCCACACAGGGACCTGCTGTGGCTGGAAGTCGGCGTAGGGGCAGGGGTTCCCCTAAGCAGATCTCATTTCAGGATTTGGGCTTTAAACTATGAGGCTCTCTAGAGAGTACAAGGGCTGTGTGAATTGACAGCATTTGATAAATAACGTGTGTAGACTAATTTAAATTGTTTCTTTGGCCAAGAATATATTTGACTATTTGGGAAAGGGAGGTTGTTTGCCTTCTTTTCCCACCAATAGTAAGCTATATTCTTAACCACAAACTAATTGATTACAGTGAAATAAAGTGGACAATTTAACTGTGTATTTACACGCTAATTCCCCTTTTCCAATTTCACTGTGCAAGCATTCCTGCAGGTCCCAGGCTAAAATGAACAGATAAAGTCTTGGCATATGCAAAGAAAACATTTGATAAGATTCTGGATGCCAAAGTATACATGAAGTTCTTGCCCTAGTGAGGAAAGTTAGGAAGGGCCAGAGTACTCCTGAGGTATTAACATTTTCTTTTATGTTCCCTTCCATTTCATAATGTTTGCTCTTACTTAAAAGGTCTCCTGGCATTCCAGCGATGTTAGAAGGAGGCTAGTGGAA